AGCAGAGTAATACTCCATTGTATAAATGTACCACAGTTTCTTAATCCAGTCATCTACCGATGGGCATTTCAGTTGTTTCCAAGTCTTGGCTATTGTGAAGAGCGCCTGTAATGGTTGCACCAATCTGCAGTCCCACCAATAGTGCACCAGGGTTCCCTTTTCTCCACAGCCTTGCCAGCACTTGTTGTTTGTTGATTTATTGATGATAGCCATTCTGACTGGAGTGTAGTGGTATCTCATTGTGGTTTTTATTTGCATTTCCCTAGTGATTAGTGAGGTTGAACATTTTTTCATATGCCTGTTGGCTGACCCATTAACTCTTTATTCCAATATTAACTCTCCAATGCCTTCAGTCACATGCTGTTTATATTTTGTCCAATTTGTGTTACCTAGCATCCTGTTACCAGAAATGGATGTTTAAGATTCAGTAACTTATATTTAAATTGAGACTTGAATGATGAGAAAGAGTAGATTTGTATAGAGTTTCTCATAAAGAGCAGTCCAAAGACATGGACGCAGCTCTAACTACTTGTAAGTTCAAATTGGCTTTGTGACTTTTTCAGAGCTAAAAGAAATTAAATATGTTGGGCAAATGGTGAATAAAGCAGAGAAGAATCATGGGGAAATCAAATACATAAGTAGGGACCAGTCTGTGAAAGGCATGAAAGGCATTTGGATTTTATTCTAAGTTGGAAGCCCTTTAAAAGATAGCACATCTCTATCTGAATCTGAATCAGAATCAGTTGATGAGAAGTATTAAAACTAGAGAGATCCATGATCTTATTCTGATTCACTAGATTCAGATTCAGTTAGTCTGGTGTGGTATCTGGGCATCTTTAATTTTAACAAGCTTCCCAGGTATGGTTTTGATCCCCACCAAATTTTTAGAACCACTGACTTAAAAAGTTTTCTTAATCGCTTCCCTTATCTTCTTAGTAGAGTTTTCATTATTCTCTGATCTTTAATGTGCCCTTTTCACCTGGTAACATATGAAATCATTCTAAACTAATATTTTTTTCAAATTCTAAGTAACAACACGTTACTGAAACATGAAATCAATTTAGTGAGTTTTGACTGTGTGTGTGGGGGTGGAGAGGCAGAAATAGAACTAGAATAGAAAACAGGTAGGTATTGTTTTATGTAACTATAAATGTAGAAGATTGTGATGTGAAAGGTAAGTAGGTATCACTACAGATCATAGTAAACAATATTTTAAAAACACTGATGTAGCCAGTTAATATTATGGATATAATTTCCCTATATATATTTTCCTGAATTGTATTTTCTACAATGAAAGTTGTACTTCTTCTGAAATGACAACAGAAATTTTTTATTGTTCTTTTATCTTTCAGATTTGCCTTCAAGATATGCGAATAAGGACTTATCTCCAAAAAAGGACACTTACGAAACAGAATTATCCCAATGGGAAATGAGTGACAGGCTTGAAAACTATGATCTTAAGGAGTGCAGTTCCGGAGATTATTTGGAAGTCAGAGGCACGTTGGAAAATCAGAAGGAATATTTCAGGCAAGGAATGATCATATATGAAAAAATGTCCATTTTCAACCAGCATACTTACTTATCTCAATATCCCAGATATCATTCTACTGAGAAACCCTATAAATGTAAGGAATGTGGGAAGGCCTTTAGACGAGCCTCACACCTAACTCAACATCAGAGTATTCATACTGGGGAAAAACCCTATGAATGTAAGCAATGTGGGAAGGCCTTTAGTCGTGATTCACAGCTCAGTCTTCATCAGAGACTTCATACTGGTGAGAAACCCTATGCATGCAAGGAATGTGGAAAGGCATTTACTCAGAGCTCACAACTTATTTTACATCATAGAATTCATACTGGTGAAAAACCATATAAGTGTGAAGAATGTGGGAAAGCTTTTATTCGTAGTTCACAACTCACCCGACATCAAAAAGTCCATACTGGTGAAAAACCTTATGAATGTAAAGAATGTGGAAAGGCCTTTACTCAGAACTCACAACTTACTCTACATCAGAGACTTCATACTGGCGAGAAGCTCTATGACTGTAAAGAATGTAGAAAGGTCTTTACTCAGCTCTCACAACTTATTCTACATAAGAGAATTCATACCGGTGAAAAACCCTATGAATGTAAGGAATGTGGGAAAGCTTTTATTTGTGGCTCACAACTTTCTCAACATCAGAAAATTCATAATGGGGAAAAGCCATATGAATGTAAAGAATGTGGAAAGGCCTTTATTCGTGGCTCATTGCTTATGCAACATCAGCGGATTCATACTGGTGAAAAACCATATAAATGTGAAGAGTGTGGGAAGGCCTTTATCCGTGGCTCACAACTTACTCAACACCAGAGAATTCATACCAATGAGAAGCCCTATGAATGTAAGGAGTGTGGAAAGACCTTTAGTCATGGTTCACAACTTACTCAGCATCAGAGAATTCATACTGGTGAGAAACCCTATCAATGTAAGGAATGTGGAAAAGCCTTTAATCGTGGCTCACTCCTTACTCGGCATCAGAGGATTCATACTGGTGAGAAACCCTATGAATGTAAAGAATGTGGAAAGACCTTTAGTCGTGGCTCAGAACTTACTCAACATGAGAGAATTCACACTGGTGAGAAACCCTATGAATGTAAGGAATGTGGGAAGTCTTTTATTCGTGGCTCACAGCTTACTCAACATCAGAGAATTCATACTGGTGAGAAACCCTATGAATGTAAAGAGTGTAGAATGGCCTTTACTCAGAGTTCACATCTTTCTCAACATCAGAGACTTCATACTGGTGAGAAACCCTATGTATGTAATGAATGTGGAAAGGCCTTTGCTCGTGGCTTACTACTTATACAGCATCAGAGAATTCATACAGGTGAGAAACCTTATCAGTGTAAGGAATGTGGGAAAGCCTTTATTCGTGGTTCACAACTTACTCAACATCAGCGAATTCACACTGGAGAAAAACCCTATGAATGCAAGGAATGTGGGAAGGCATTTAGTCATGGTTCTCAACTTACTCTTCATCAAAGAATCCATACGGGTGAGAAGCCCTATGAATGCAAAGAATGTAGAAAAGCCTTTACACAGAGCTCACATCTTTCTCGACATCAGAGAATTCATACTGGTGAGAAACCATATCAGTGTAAGGAATGTGGGAAAGCCTTTACTCGTGGTTCACAACTAACTCAACATCAGAGAATTCATATCAGTGAGAAATCTTTTGAATATAAGGAATGCGGGATAGACTTTACTCATGGCTCACAAGTTTTTATATGAATTATCTAATTCTTTATGATTAATAGAGAGAGCCTTCTCTGGTCAACTCATCATTAAAGAATTCTTAAAATGTGAATATGGGAGCACACTTGCCTCATAAAGTTTAGTTAGCATCAGTGAATTTACATGGGGAAAGATCATGTAACCCATGTAGAAAAACCTATTACTGGAAACCTGTTAAACTTTAGGAAATTTTAATAGACAGTAATTTGTTAATGTAGTAAATATAGGAAGGTCTTTAGCCATAGCCTGTCTTTTTCAACATTATGTTGATTACCAGTTGCTTTCCTTTGTGACATTTCTCATGATAGTTAACCTCTACTTTCATTTAATTGTTTGCAAGAAAACCTAAGAATAATACTCTATAAGATTCTTGGAAGTACTATGTGAGTTATTATATATATAGCTCTTAGAACAGTGCCTTGAACATTGCATATCACAAATATTGGCTATCATTATAGTGTTAGAGAATTTGCATGAGAGGAGGACACTAATGAGTATAATGAATATTGAAAAATCTTTCATTAACACTTAACTCCAGGGCTGGCTGAGTGGCGTATTGGTTAGGAGTTGGCTTGGGACGCCAGCTCTGAGCAGCAGGTCCCCCGTTCGGATCCCACATGAGGGCTAGTGACGCTGCGCCCACTACAGCTAAGATGGTGAACAACAGCTCAACCTGGAGCTGGGCTGCCATGAGTCACCAGCAACGGAGTAGGCTGCAGTGGGGCTGGCTGGCAGCAGGCGTGAGCTTTCATGAGCTGTTGTGAGCCATCTTGAGCAGCTGTCCAATGGCCGGTGAGCAACTGCCTCACCCGGGAAGAGCGCAATGATAATACCAACATGGGCCAGTGAGCGACGTCCTCCACAACTAGACTGAAGAACAAAAGGACGGCAACTTGTCTGTTCCCCTTCCCTGATTCCCCAACGCTGTTCCCCTCCCCCAATTCCCCAATAAAATCTT